GCAAAATGTTATCTGACGTGCACTGGTGGAGTTCTGGATCTGCTAGCCATTAGGTCTGGGGGCTGTCCAGGCCTATTTTGGGTGAAATCTGTAGGCTGCCATGATGGTACTGTTTTTCCTGTGGGACCAGTGCAGTACACTGAGCCAGAAGTGAGTTTGTTCTCGGCTTAGCACATGCACCAATAAGATTAGCCAAAACTGTATCTCGTGGATTTTGATTTTGGTTTTTATTTTCATTTCTTTAAACAGTTTGTTTTTTTCTGACATTAAGTTCTCCACTGACTCATAGATCATACAGACACATTTTCTTTAGGAAGGTTCTTGATTTTCTTTGTCATTTCTTCAGTGACGCATTAGTCATTCAGTAGCATGCATGTTATATAATTTTGTGGCTTTGTAAATTTCTAATTTTGTTCCTGTTGTTGATTTTGTTTTGTGGCTTTTCATTTAAGGGGATGTATAGTAATTGTGTAGTGGAGACTATCATATCCAGATGTGAGGATAAAATGTAGTATGTGTCTCTACTTCCAGATCAAAGATGGATTCTTAGTGAAACTGTTAAGTATGTGTTGACAATAGGATGTTGACTCTCTGCTATTGTTCATGCCTGCAATGTAAGGATACACTTAAGTAGCAGAATGATGGATTTATGACTCTTTATGAAGAACTATACTGTTGTAATAATAGAGGGGAAATCAGTGTGGGGGGCAGATTTGAGGAAAGGGGAGGAAAATTCTAGAGCTTATGGAACTGTATCATAAAATAAATTTATTTTTTAGCTTCGTTGCTGAGAAACACAACTTTCATTGAAGTATATGAAACTTGGGTTATGATATCAGTAAATGTGATTTTTTGAGTTTTGTTTTGCTTTTGTAGCAATCTGTTCTGATTATGCAGGGAATGTGAGAAGAAAAATATGCTGGAGCTTGCGCCAGGATGTAAATCAATGTGTACTTCCTTCTGAGAAAATCTTCGTGAGCCAGCTGAACTAAGCAGTGTGCTAACTCTGTCAGCTGAATTTACACCAGCTCACTAAAAGTGTGAATTAGTCAATAATTAAACCAGTGTATTGAATTTGGGATTTGGGCCCAGTGCAGCAGCCTAGGGGCTGAAGTGGTCACCTTGCTCATGCTGGGATTCCATATGGGCTGCCATACCTTCCATTTGCATCAAGGCCTGCCATCCACTGCTCCATCTTTTCCACTAAGAAGGACCAGTTCTTGCAGGCTCACCGGAGGGCCCGGGCCAGGTGACACAGGCCCCCAGATCCTCCACTGTTCCCGGGCTCATGGACCCAGCACCCATTGCATGGGCTCCTGGCTTTGGATAAGCTCAGGTTCAGCCACTGCAGCCACCTGGGGAGTGAACAGCAGACAGAAGATTCTTCTCTCTGTCTGTTCTCTCTGTAAATCAGACTTTGCAATTAAAAAATTTAAAGAGGGTGTTGGCAAAAGGCTTGTGAGGCTGAAAGCAATTGTTATAAAACAGTAAATTTGAGGTTTACAAAACCTTAGATATTGGAGGTCATTCTTAACAGTTTAGCTATCAGTTGTTATATTTTGAAGTGTACCTTGTTTTTCAAAGAAATTTTTAGTCTGTGGCTCAGAGCGGTAGCCTGATGACTGGTGTCCTCAGCTTGCACATGCAGGGATCTCGGCCGCTCCACTTCCTTTCCAGCTTCCTCCTTGTTTCCTGGGAGTGTAGTTGGGGATGGCTCTGCGTCTTGGGACCCTGCACCTGCTTGAGAGACCAGGAGGAAGCTCCTGGCTCCTGACTTTGGAGTCGCTCTCAGTTGTTGCTGCCACTTGGCGAGTAAATCAGTGGATGTATCTTTCCCTTTATCTACTTTTCTCTGTAGGTCTGACTTACCAATAAATATAAATAAAAAACCTTCAGAAAAAAAAAAGAAAGAAGTTTTTAGCCTAGCATATTTGAACTTAGGGGTCAGCACTATTTTGGCAATATAAGAAATCAGTTTGGCCCTTAGATTTTTAAATGCATGAATTAGACATCTTTGCCTGATCCATCCTCCCTCCCTCCCTCCTTCCTTACTCCTTCCTTGTTTCCTTGCTTCCTTCCTTCCTCCCTTCCTTTCTTGCTTCATTCCCTCCTTCCTGCCTGCCTTCCTGCCTTCCTTCCTTTCCATCCTCGCCTCCCTCTGTTTCTTTCGCCCCCTTTTTCCTCCGCTTCCTCCTTCTCTTCCCCTCCTTCTCTCCCCACCTTCCTTTCAATTTGCTGTCTATCTAAGTCTTCCATATAAATAAGAAATGTCAGATATTTTTCAATGGCAGATAAAATCAAAGGGCAAATATTTAAGATTTGGAGGAAATTTTCCAAAACTTGTTATGATGCGTTCTATAATATATTAACAATTATTAGTAGAGTTGATTGTGATCTAAACTGTAAAAACTACTATTAGATTATTTTAAAATGTGGTAGGATGCCTTGAATTTTTTTTGTTGTTGTTATTGTTGTTAGTAAGAGAAAATTCATGAGCAGGAATCTTTTTTTTTTTTTCCAAAAATTATTTTAGGTTTAACTATATTTTGTTCTGGGTAAGTTATTTTAAGTGGCTTCCTGTGAGGGATTCCAGAGAGAGTCTAAAAAGCAAATTCTCTGCATTTCAGATAAATATTTTTTAAAAAAACAATATCCTAATTGCTTTAGAAAATTTTCCCTCCTGTTTCTGTCAACATACTAGAGTGAGAGTAGTTTTTCTGAGTGCTATTGAAAGAGAACACAAATGATGTACATTAGCCCTCGGTGAGTAGCCTTGTCCTCAGTCCACATTGGGTTAGGTAAGTTAATGTGGTGGCCTGCATCTGAGATAGCACCCAATGTCCTTAGCTCCTGGTATTTATACTTTGTATAATCCCCTCGTTTGGTAGCAGTGGAGTGGAGGCAGTTGAGTGATAGCTGTGTCGGTTGTGACTTCCGGTTATGCTTGTTCACTCTGCTACTTTGCTCCAAGAAGTGAGCTGCGAAGTGGTGAGCAGTGCAGTGGAGAGGCTGCGAGTAGGCCAAGTTCTCTGCCAGTCAGGCATTCAGGTAACTGGCTCTGACAACAGTTAGAATAATGAGCATCCATCTAAGTTTCTTCTAAGTTCCTGAGCTACAAACACTTTAAGATAACGGATGTGGAGCCCAGCGCAGTGGCCTAGCAGCTAAAGTGCTTGCCTTGAATGCGCCAGGATCCCATATGGGCGCCGGTTCTAATCCCAGCGGCCCCACTTCCCATCCAGCTCCCTGCTCGTGGCCTGGGAAAGCAGTGGAGGATGGCCCAAAGCTTTGGGACCCTGCACCCGTGTGGGAGATAAAAAATATGTGTTGTCCTTAAGCCACTGATTTTTTTTTCAGTTATTTTGTATAGATAATACAGTAAACAAGAAACAAAATTGTTGACATTTTTGGGTAAAGACACACTTGCTACTCTGTTAGAATAGGGGTAGGGAACTTTTGGTCTGTAGACCTCTTAAGGCCTACAACAGATGAGATGTGGCAGGTTAATTTTTGAGTTGACAATTTTGTATGACCTGCAAGTGATGCTATAAATATCTAAATGGCCATTGGCAGAAAAAAAGAAAAAAGGATTCCATGCCCCAGAGAGTGTGAATTTGAGAATTCCTGTTTTACCTTAACTTTTGGTTAAGTTGACAAAGTGGTCAAACATGCTAGAGTGGTAGCAGTTTCCTGAATTGGTTATCTGTATAAAAACTTTCAACGAAAAATTCACAGCTCTATGTAAATCTTCCCTGTTTTCTGTTAAATTTTATAGGTCTGAATATAATAAAATATTTAAATGATTTAGACTCATTTTATATGACTTATTTAAGCTTCAATTTTATGAGCAGTTTATTTAGTTCCAATTTACACTTAAGCATGGTTTTTGAAGGGTCAGAATTTTTTTGAAAAGCAGTATTTCTTCACCAGAGATCTATTTTTTGTACGATTTACTTATTTTTTACTGGAACGTTAGATTTACAGAGAGAAGGAGATCAGGGAGAAATAACTTCCATCTGCTGGTTCATTCCCCAAGTGGCTGCAGTGGCTGGAGCTGAGCCAATCTGGAGCCAGGAGCTTCTCCTGGGTCTCCAACATGGCTGCAGGGTCTCCCACTTTGGACTAAGGCAGGCTACAAGCAGGGAGCAAGAAGGGAAATGTAAGGGAAAGGAAGTGGAGCAGCCAGGATTAGAACCAGTGCCCATATGGGATCCCAGCTCATGCAAGGTGAGTAGCCACTAGGCTACTGTGCCAAGCCCTACTAGAGATAATCTTAAGAGATCTGCCCTATCGGAGTTCTCATAGCATTTTCCACTGATGCCTCATTATAATTGGTTGTATTTTGTTAAACTGAGAGCTCTGAAGGACTGAATCCCATTTCAGTGTTTGCTTTTAACATCTTGAGTACTTGTAACAGTGTCTGATATTTGGCAGTTACACTGTAGGTACTGGTTGAAAAAATTAATTTTTTTTTCTGTTTCGTTTGTACAGTGATTCATTTCTACTGTTATAAATAAGTCAGTTACTATCTATTTTCTTTAAAGATCTATTTTATTTTAATTGCAAAGTCAGATATACATAGAGGAGGAGAGACAGGAAGATCTGCCTGATGGTTCACTCCCCAAGTGACTGCAGTGGCCAGTGCTGTGCCAATCCAAAGCCGAGAGCCAGGAGTTCTTCCGGGTCTCCCACGCAGGTGCGGGATCCCAGGGCTTTGGGCCATCCTCAACTGCTTTCCTAGGCTACAAGCAGGGAGCTGGGTGGGAAGTGGAGTTGCCAGGATTAAAACCAGCATCCATATGGAATCCCTGTGCGTTCAAGGCAAGGATTTCAGCTGCTAGGCCATCACACCTGGCCCAGTTACTATATATATTTATACGTATATACATTTTTCTCCTGAAAGGATGTTAATTGTTTAGGCTTCCATAGAAAATATTTCTCGGCAAGTTTCTTTCTGAGTCCCAGACACTTCCGTGAAATTCATGCTTTCCTTTCCATAGTACAACTGCTGCGTCTGAAGAAGATGTATCAAGTCGATATCCCCGAACAGAAAGGAGTGGCTTCAGATACAGCAGGGACGGAAATGCTTCAGGTACTCTGGTGTCCAATAGCACCTTGGAGAAGAAAATTGAAGATCTTGAAAAGGTATCAATTATTTAAGATCAATGGAATTAATATATTGTTTGGATTGTTTTTTCTGTTTTATAGCAGTTGATTGGGTGATGAAATGGAATTTGCAGGGTAAGAGTACAGAGAGGGGAGAGGCGTGGGGAAGCTGTAGCGGGGATATGCAGTGTTCGTTGGTGTATCTGTAAGTACGCTCGTGGCATGCCTAATTCTGTTTCATGTATATAGTTTATAGACATGCACACACAGTGTCTGGGCATTCTCTGATTTCCTTAGAACGTTGCATCAACGGTCCTTTTGATGTTATAATTTTAAAACAAAGCCAGTTCTTACATTCATTAATTTAATGACTGTGCTTATTCTGCCAAGTGTTATTTTTAATAAAAATAATGCAAGTAGAATTTGTCTTTAGTTAGAAGACAGCAGACAGTACATACCTGTATGTATTCACTCTGTTGTTTGAACGTATGTTGTTTGTAGATTTGCCAAAGGTTCTGAGTTATTCCAGGCCTTATCTCTAAGATTTATATGAAAAATGTGTTACATTATTTTCATTTTTTTTAAAAAAGTTTAAAATCAGTAGTCTGTTTCAGTTCCCACATTTTTTACCTATTGTCATTTTACTGGCAGAGCCAGAAAGCAAGCTGAGCACCATTGTGTTTCTCTTTAGGGTTTTCCATTAAAACATCTCTTGAACTTTCCTATTTTTAATGGAATTTGTAGTTTTCTCAAAGAAGATGCTGTTCAGTTTTTAGAAGGCAATCAGCTAGAGGAGGTGAGCTTTAGTGCTTGTTGAAGACTTGTACACATAACCATGGGTTTATTCAGCTCCCATTTGCCCCGGATGTTCTTTCCCTGGTGTGGGTTCTTTCCTTCCTTCCCAAGTGTGTTAAATTCACTGGAAATCCTCATTTAGCTGAGATAGTTCACCAAAACTTGCAGGTGGATGCTATTTAAGATTTTGAACACTGAATTCTTAGTTAATGCTTTGTCATTGTGTCTACCAGGAAGTGCTAAGAGAAAGGCAAGAAAACCTAAGACTTGTGAGGCTGATGCAAGATAAAGAAGAAATGATTGGAAAACTTAAAGAAGAAATTGATTTGTTAAATAGAGTAAGTATTTTCCAAGTTTCAGCTTCAGCTCTTTTTGACAATTGAATGCAAATATATAAATATAAAGAAATTATTTGATTGTATTATTCTGTTTGATAATGAGATCATGAGAATCCCTCATTCCATAAAACTCATTTCCTCCAGGGCAGTGGTCAGTTTTGTTCAGTTTTATTGTTGGAGGGATGAACTGGTGAATGACTTTATTCTGTGTTTTAGTCGTCTGTAGATGACAGGGGGATTAGTGGCCACTGTTGTTTAAGGGCACCACAGTCTGTGGAGGGGCATCAGTAAAGAACTGAAAGGGGCAGTTTGTTATTATAGGGAATTTCAGATGTCTCCAGTTATACATAATGCATCCCCAGTTCTAGCCTTATCCAACACTTTATATGACTGGTTTTTTTTCTTTTTAAAGATTTATTTATTTATTGGAAAGTCAGATATACAGAGAGGAGGAGAGACAGAGAGGAAGATCTTCCATCCGATGATTCACTCCCCAAATGAGCGCAACAGCTGATGCTATGCCGATCCGAAGCCAGGATCCAGGAACTTCTTCCGGGTATCCCACGTGGGTGCAGGGTCCCAAAGCTATGGGCCATCCTCGAGTGCTTTCCCAGGCCACTGGCAGGGAGCTGGATGGGAAGTGGAGCTGCTGGGATTAGAACTGGTGCCCATATGGGATCCTGGCACGTTCAAGGCCAGGACTTTAGCTGCTAGGCCACGCTGCCGGGCCCAGTATGACTGTTTTTCGTAGTTTTATCTTTAGCCCTCAAATTAGCTGACTAATAATATTACTGTGAGGTCATACTTAGGGAGTAATTATGGGAAGAGATTCTGTAATTCTGCTTTTTTAGAGAACTTTTATATATAAGAAGGTGGAAGAAATCATTTTACTTCAGGGAGAACTGGCATAGGATTGTGGTGCCGCAGGTTAAGCTGATGCTTGGGATCCCTCGTCGTATTTTGGAGTACCTGGGATGAAGTCCCATGTCCACTTCTGATCTAGCTGTGTGTCAATATTTCTGGGAGGCAGCAGGTGGAGGCCCAGGTACTGGGCCCTGGTACCCATGTGGTAAACCCTCATGGAGTTCCCAGCACCTACCCTTGATCTGCATAGTCCTAGCTGTTGTGGGCATCTGGAGTGAACCAGCGGAAGGAAGATTTCACTCTCTCTTTCGCTCACAATAAAAAGGGAAAATGGAATTTAAAAATATGTGGGGCAGGTGTTTCAAATGCCTGCATCTCATAGCAGTGCCTGGGCTTGCATCCTGGCCCTGCTCCTATTCCAGCGACCTTAGGGGTGCCGGATCTCAGTCAGAGTTGGAACTCCTGGTTCCTGGCATTGTCTTGGCCCACCCCCCTCTGCTTGGGGTAAGCTAGCAGTTGGGAGCTTTGTCTCCTACGTCGCTGCCTGCCTTCCTCTCAAATAAACTAAACTGGAATTTGTAAAATAAATAAATAGGTTTTTTTAGGAGATAAATGTATTTTGGCACAAAAACATATATTATGAAAAGTCTCTGCATGGATTTCAAATTTTTATTTTTGCCCAAAATAAATTTACCTTTCAATTCTACTTTTCCACAGAATTTTTGAGGTCCCTTTTGTATAATAAAGTGGGTGGTAACAGTGTTTGATTTATTTGATACCTCTACACTTTTGTTGTACTGTTCTTAATCCTGTTCTAACACAGTTTTGCTCTGTGGATGCTAGAGTTTAAGAAATCGTGTAAATGTAATCAATTTCTTTACTATTTAGTAACAGAGACAGAAGCAACTTTCCCATCTGTTGGTTTGTTTGCCCAAATGGTTTTAACAACTGAAGCAATGCTAGGACTGAGGAGCCTAGAATCCCCTCCAGGTCTCCCAGGTGAGCAGCTGGGACCAGGCCTAGGGACCTGGGCCGTCTGCTGCTGCTCTCCCAGTGCGTTAGCGGGGAGCTGGGACCAGGCCTAGGGACCTGGGCCGTCTGCTGCTGCTCTCCCAGTGCGTCAGCGGGGAGCTGGGTCTGAAGCCAACCACCCAGGACTGCATGTGTGCCTTAGTATGAGATACCAGCGTCCCCACAAATGCTGGCTTTAACAGGCTGGGTCACAACACCAGCTCCCATGCAAATATTTTGGGTGTTCATTTTGTCTCCCCAGCATTATTTCATTGGTGGATAAATACAATTTTAGTGTTTTGGGTTTTTTTTTTCCTTAAGTTCTACTTATTTTTATTGATTTGGAAAGGCAGATTTTACAGAGAGAAAGGTTTTGATCCAGTTCACTCCCCAATGCCCGCAACAGGCATTGCTGAGCCAATTAGGAGCCAGGAGCTTCTGCATCTCCCACGTGGGTGCTGGATCCCAAGGCTTTGGGCCGTCCGCTACTGCTTTCCCAGGTCTTCTGGAGGGAGATAGTTGGGAAGTGAAGCAACTGGGACATACAGGGTACTGATGCTTGTAAGGTGGGGAATTACCCACTGAGTCGTCATGCTGGGTCCCAGGCTCATATATTTTAAAGAGTAAATGCCTAATTTAGTGCCTTAGGTTACTTACAAGTGTTAGAAATCAGACGGTCACAGATTAAAAACCCTGACTTCAGATGTTCCTTGAAAAACTGAAAGGTCTGGCAAGAACTGGCCTGCATAATTTTGCTAGTCCCAAAAATCTAGTAATAGATGCTCCTTAGATATTTAAAGTTACTTTTGAAACTTGCGCACATTTAGGAATTGATTGTATGACTTATTATGGCTGTGTATTTGTAAGGGATGTTTTAATCTCTTTTAGAATGTTGTGAAGTGTTTTTGAAGTATTTCTTTCCTGTTTCCTCCTTTAAGGATCTGGATGACATAGAAGATGAAAATGAACAATTAAAGCAGGAAAATAAAACTCTTTTGAAAGTTGTTGGGCAGCTGACAAGGTAGAAGATGCAAGGTTCAATGTGGAAAATATTTTAAAACTACTGATTGAATGTTAATTCCAATGCTAGGACTGTATTCCTGTGCTGCAATACATTAAGATACTAAATATGTATATTTATTTCTAAAAATATTGATGGATGTTTATTTTTAGGATACTTCTTTTTCCTTACTAGTTTCAGAAAAACTATCAGCCTTTTATTTCGCAGGTAGCATCTTTCAGTTATCAAAGTGATAGGCAATGCCTCTTTTGGTTTTATGTGGTATTGAAATAAGCCATGGCTGAAAGTCACAACCATCTGAGTTATTTTGTCTATGATAGTGCATTTTCTCCTAAAGGATATATACATAGTCTTTGTTTACATGAATTTAAATACTTTTGGGGAATTACCTACAAATGCCTTATTACTAACGTGTGCGGCCTTGTACTTGTTGATGACTTACAGAGGTATTTAGTCTGCTGTCATTTGTTCTTTCCACTTATGCTAAATGATCTGCAGTAATAGAGTTAGACTATTTTGTATAATGTAATCTGTTAAAATGGAAAGCTGTTGTAAAGTCAGTTGATAGCATGTTCTAGTTGGCTAAATATAAATCCAAGAAAATACTTGAATTGTGCTATATATAGAGTAAGTGAAAATTTACTATTTTGTGTTGAGTATTGGAAAAGATTTTAAATCATTTTAGCTTCTGAAAAAGTACAATTGTTATTGTAGTGTAAAATTTCTTATGTAGGTACTAGTTTTTTATTGTTTCAAGGTTTATTAGTGAATATGGCATATTTAAGACGTCATTTATTCTCTGGCCTTGAAAATATGTACAATTTCATTGTATAAGAATAAAATCCATATATCATCATATGCATTACAGTCAAAACCAAAATATTTATGTGTACTTTAAGCGTTTATACATATATTAACAAAACTGTGGATAAGCAGACATGATATTAAAATACTTGCTCTGACTTCTAAGTCAAAGGATAACACTGAGGCAAGTTTTCCCATGTCAGAATGTTCCCCACCGCTTATACAAATTGTAAGACATTTCCTTTCTAATGTTGAAATTCCTGAAACAGTTGTTTTGGAAGACCTATACAAGTTTTCTTTTATTAAATGCTACTAGAATTTAGGTCGTTTCATAATTATTTTTTGACATTGATTAAGAGCTTCTCCCCTGCCGCAGTAAAAGGTGAGTTGTCTGTGAGTCTCAAACAGCAGCACTGGTATCGTTTTAGGTCATGGCAGCTTGAACATAATAAAACGTAACAAAATCCATCTTGAGCACCCTACTATTTCTTTTACTTGCCAATCTCCTTTATGTACTCACTTTTAGGGGAAGTAGGGAAAATGAGACAAATTGAGAAGAAATGCAAAGGAGGTTAGAAGCATCCCATGTTAGTTGTAAAGCTATACATTCGTCACTAATGATGGCCACCTCCTTTCACCACATCACAAGTTTCAAGCTTGGCTGATGATCAGAATCACATGAAGAGCTTAAGAAAGAATTCTCTAACAATAGCTCCTGGGTAGTTGTAGATCGAGACACCAAACTCTATCATTCTTAAAACTCGTGATACGATTAATTCTAATCAAAACTTAGTTTCAGAAGCAGGGGCTGTTGTGTATTCATTCATTCTTGTATATCCAAATGAACACCATGAAATTGACATTATTTCAGCTACTAGCACTTTCTTCCTTTTAGTTTATTTAGTAATTAACCTGGTCTTTTAAGTAGATATATGTCCTGTATTGTTCAGGGGGGCTCTTCAAAAAGTTCATTAAAAATGTGTATTATGAATAATAATATACATGAATTCCCAAAAAAGTTAGTGGAAAGTGCATATTACAAAAATAGTAACTATGAATTAAAAAGTCTGCACCAAAATAAACTTAACTTTTAATTCCATTTTTACATGAACTTTGTCAAGTATCCTTTTGTACTGTACTCACAAGAATGTTCAGTGTTAGAGTACTGCCTTTGGTATTACTGCAGAATTACTTCCTTGTGGGAGACTTTTACCCGGGAGGGCAACAGCCATGCCTGCCCACATGCCAGAGTGCTCACTTTGGTTGTAAGGTACTCATTTCCCTTGAGCTACCCGTAGGTATGTATCCGTGGTGTCCAGTTCCTCACCAGCACTTTTTAAAGTGTGTTCATTTGAAAATGAGAATGCTCCCGGATCTGCTGGTCAGTGTCCAAATTCGCACAAGGAACACGGGGAAGCCGGAATTCCAGATGCTTGTCTACCACGTGGGTAGCAGGACTCTGTCTCTGCTGCCTCCCCAGAGTTGCAGTAGCAGGAAGCTGGAATGGGGGTCAGGGCAGGTGTGCAGAGTGAAACACTGGCATCCCAACCACTGCCAGGCCAAACACCTGCCCACTCGTTTCCACTTGATTGAAACTGAAAATGCTGTCGGTATCCATCCTTAAAATGTGTTAGGGTATTCATTTTTCAGTGAAAGGGATACTTTAAGTTTTCCATTTAATTAATACTTCAATAAAGGAGCATTTGTTTCCTCTTTGAAAATCATAGTAATTTTTCATGCTTTTTAAGACTGAGTTGCTTTTAACATTTTTCCTTCTCTTCGGTTTAAGGAGAACATTCGCAGCCACAGTTTTAGGTTTTTTAGCACGGGAATATCAGGTGCAAATACAGTAGGCTGCAGTTTAGGGAAACCATTTCACATGGAGTACTTTCCCTTCTTGCTTAAAATGTGTATTTGTTTTGCATGCCTATTTTTCTCCCTAACTATTGAAAAATAAAGTAGGATATGCTATAATTTGTTTTTTTTTAAATTTGTAGAAAGCATTGATATTTTTAAAAGATAACTTAGATACATGTTCACTATCCTAGAAAACTTGGACAATAAAGTACAATTTTTGTGAAATTACTAGTTCTATGTATAAATATTCCCATGTATCCTGGGAATTGCTGGTTTAATAAAACACACTCAGAGTTCACATATACACGTGAGATAGCTTTGAGAACATTACATTTGTCATTTTCAAAAGGAACATGACATTTCCTTATTTCTGATAGGAGCTCAAAATTTCTGTGGCCATTTTTATTTCCTTTTTTTTTTTTTTGTAAAAGTGTTGGTAATTTGATTGCAATAAATACCTTTAGTCAGGAAAGGAAGGGCTTTTAGACATGTATTCCTAAATAATGTAAGGGATTTATATGATAGTATTATTAAACTTGTTTAATAGTTTAAAGGTATTTTAAAAATTAAATTTGGGGGCAGATATGTGAAGCTATCCTTTTCTTAATAATTTTAAATTGTAGTAGAAGTGATACATTGTTCAGATGAGAAACCCACCTCAGTTATATGTGACTTACGTTTTCTGGATTAATCTGGACTTTTGAAAGGTGAAGTCAGAATGTCAAATTTTTAGATCCCATCATAACTTTGTTGAAGACAGTGTAGAAACATCCCTTTTTTTAAACACCTTAAGAAAAAATAACAAAGGTCATGGATCTGCCCACCGGTCTTATCCTGGACAGCATTCATGGGTATTGTCTTGGCTTTTTTTTTTTCTTTTGGAATGGTTTTTTATAATTGTTTCTGAGTTTGACTAATAAGTTACAACAGTATTGCCACTTACTTAGTCTTCCAGTATGAAACTCAACACAAGTCTTGAGGAAAAATGTTCAGTGAAGAGGAACTAGCAATTAGGATTCAGAAATTTACTAAACATTTTCGTATTGTGTCTGAACCACTTCTAATTTGTAACAGGAGCTTGAGATCTTTTACCATGGAAGGAACTATGCTCTCATACCTAAAGGACACTGTGTTGTTGTAGTTCATCTTGAGGTCAACAGTATGATATTTTCTTATGTTCCATTAAATTGGGATTCAAATACTTGTGAGTGATAAAGTCTGAATACCAGAGAAAGATACCCTCCCTTCCATGCTGTTGATTTTTCTCCTTTATTCTGGTGAGTGGGAGCGAGCAAGGGAGGGGAGGAAATCTCTTTGTATTCTTAAGATTGTGTATATGAAATACATGGAGTTTATTCCTCTTATAAGCAAAATAAATAAATAAAAAGCACTGGAACCATTCCAGAAGAGGAACTGAACCCCTGTATGTCAAATCTGTAACCTCAGCCTTCCCCCAAAATGATCATGTGTGAGAGGAATATAGATACGTAGGTTGTGTCAAGTTGCATATCTACTTCAGCAGGTGTTTATCAGTCCACTGGATATACTATTTTTATTGATACTGTGGAAATTTTAAGTCAGTGGATACAGTCCACTCTTCAGTACAGTCAGTGTAGTGTCATCAGCAGCACTAAGTGCAGTCTTAGCTGTCTAAACCGGATCGTTCAGTCAAAAGTACATTTTGTGTTACTAACCCCACTACTTACTGCCTTTCACATCTAGTTAATAGGTAGTTTAATTTATTGCAACATAGTTTAATGGTGGAGTGAGAGAACTGACATATATTGGGAAATAGCTTACCATGTTCTTAGATAATTGCATGTTAGGAAAAGAACTCTTGTAAGTAATTTATAGCAATTAACAAAGTGGAAGAATTCAGTGTATGTCAAATACACTGAACAGTAGTTGATGTTATTCAGATGTGGTTTCAGAGCAGATATCCATATACATTATTGATTAGTGATTTGTTTTGAGGTTATTTAAAGCTGATCTCCAGCTCCTGAGTCGTCAGTCACAGTAACAGAATGTTAGTGATGGCCACCTGATGGACATTGAGTAAGTGTCTGTGTTCTGTTTTCTCCATGCCTAATAGATGTGTTTCTTTTTTGGTGAACTTGTTTCTTGAAACATTTGATTAAGTTTATTCAGGTTTTTTGTTGTGTAGGCATATATATTTCTAATTTGAGTAGCAGATGGCTGCTACTGTTAGCAAAGACCCTTTAAAGCTATAGCTTACTATTTCATTGAAAACAACCAACCAATTCAGGTCGTCCAAATATTTTTAGGAGAACATGTGGATCATATATTGAACATGCTAGTCCTGTAGACAGCTTTGATCCTTCCCATTGCATGAATTTTTATTGTGGAAAAGACAACATAGATTCACTTTTAATATGCTTTGCATGTAAAAAAGTTAAAAAGATTCATTTAAAAAGTAAATTTTCATTTATTTTTCTACAGTTAACTATATGTCTCCCTGTTATAATGTTAGTGAAATCCTGACCATGAATTTTACTTTTAAAAACTAAAGGATAATATCATTATATTTATCTAACCAGCCATGTGCCTGTTATTGAAACAGTATGCAGTAATTTAAAGATCTCTATTTAGTCTATTGTTTTGGAAGAAGACACTGTTAAGATCTGAATACATTCCTTATGAGGCTCCTTAAATAAGTGAGGAAGTCCACATATGTTCAGACTGAGAAGTTTATCTGTTTTTTAGAACTACTTGAATAATTTCTTAATTCAAAATTGATATGGTTTTAAGCTGAATCTAGTGATGTGCTAAGAATTTCAGGTCCTTCATAGTTGGGCAGTGAGAACGCATTTTCTGGGAATGTATCGATCCAGTATTTGCTTTTAGTAAATGGTTTACATAACCTTTGTCTGTGTCATTCTTCATACACCTGTACAAGTAAAGAGGCGAGGCGTGCTTTACTCCCGCACCTCTCACAGCCTCCTCAGTGACGCCGTACATGTCCAACAGGGAACCAGGTGGCCTTAGTCAGTGTTTAGATAATGCCTCAAGTCCTTGAGTCAGAATGTTTTCCACCAGCAAGACTATTAATGTTTTTTGTGAATTCTTATCATCTTAATTGAAACTGGACCCCTTTATCTTAGACTTCATCAAATCTTCATTTCTTTTCTTGATCCGGTATGTCTATGCATGCATGCACGCACCTGTCTACCAC